ACTTGTTGAACCTTCCCGGTCGAGTGTTGAGTCTATCAGGTTCAAAGCAGTACCTTCTCTCCAATTTTTCCACGTCTACAAACAAGTATGAATGAGCTTCTTTGTTAGAGCTAAAGACCTTTCACACAATGGAATCTAATACCAAAAGATGGTTTTGGATATGGGAAAACCAAGTATACTTACATAGCTCGGAAGGTGCACCAGATCTTCTGAACTATCCCACCAGCTGTTCTTCTTACCACTCACTAACTCTAGAATCAAGACACCAAAACTGAAGACATCAGACTTCACTGAGAAGCGTCCATGTAATGCATATTCCGGAGCCATATAGCCACTGCATAACCAGCACATCAATAGCACACTGCTACTTAGTATGTTATAAATTTTATGTAGCTTTTCAAGACATTTGTATGACTCATAATGCACATACCAGAGTCTAAAAGTATTAGCACTGAACAGACTTAAGAGATCATTAGATTTTGGGTGATATTCTGATACTTACTAAGTTCCCATGTGTCTGCAAGTATTGGCTTCACTTTGATCCATAACGAACATCCTTGCCATGCCAAAATCTGAAATCTTTGGACTCATGTTTTCGTCTAACAACACGTTGCTTGCTTTAAGATCGCGATGGATAACTCTATGCTTAGAATCTTCATGAAGATAAAGCATTCCTCGAGCAATCCCGCATATGATTTTGTAACGCAATTCCCAATTTAGTTCGATATGCTTGATCGGATCTACACATTTGTTAGACATAGTGATCAGTTCCATACAATAAAACACACACGTATATGTATGTATGTACAAATAGAAATGCACTTAGTTTATAGGAGCACATAAAGCTGTACCGAATATAAAATGGTCCAAGCTGCCATTGCCTAGAAACTCATATATTAGGAGTCTTTCACTTGCTTCCGAGCAAAAACCCAAAAGACTAACAAGGTTTCTGTGTTGAAGCTTAGCCACTAACAATATCTCATTCATGAATTGCTCTTCTCCTTGATTAGAATGTCCCGATAACCGCTTCACAGCAATTTCTTGACCATTTGGAAGTCTGCCCTGAGAAAATATCAGCACGAAAAATGGTTTAATTAAGCGTTTTTGAAAAAGTAAAGTGATTAGTGCATGAAAATGCACTCTAAATACTACTTTTAATTTATATAATATTAAAATATTTAAGCTTTAAT